CACTGAATAGAAAGTCCGTTTAGATATTTGAACAGCAAGGAACAAATGAAGGAGTAGAAGGGTTGGATAAGGTTCCTATCTGAAAGGATCTTATCTAATTGGAAAATAAGAACTTGAAAAATCAAATGAGAGCAAGAACGTCAAATAGTTAAACAGTCCAAAGAACAATTTGACACATCTCATGATTAATCATCAAATTAGTCTAGACCAGACATTATTACACCTGATTGTTCCACAGAATTACATGGAGAGGCTTAAAGAAAGCAATCCTTGGGCTCTACCCCGCATTTCCTGAATGAAATTTCTGGGCAGGGTTTAGGAATGTAAATTCAAAGAAGGAAGAGTTGGGGAAGTGAGTTCTGGTATTTTGTATTTTATAAAACTTCTGTATGATCCTGATGAAAATAGCTCTGCAGAAGTTTGTGGGTCAGTATTTGAGAACCACCACTATGAGCCAGGATGGTATCATCTGGCAAATGCATTTCTACCAGTAAAGGTAACATGTAAATAAAATGGGTACTGGGTTATGTAAGATTTCCCTTTTTCTATCTCCACTGATGCACAATACACTGAAACTGAGAAACGCTATCCTACATCATAAGACTAAGAACCACAGTGGAGTTGAAAGGTTTCAAGGAAGGAAAGTTTGCCTGGACTTTAAAGTCCTCTCTTGCCAAACCAAGAAGAAAAGAGCTTGCCAGGGGAGAGGAACAACATGTATTTAGGAATGAAAAAGGAGCCTGATGCACTGAGTTGTTCAGAAGAGAGGCCTCACACAGAGGAGTCAGACTATCTGCTTGGGCTCTACTGTGTTTTATTAAGGAAACAGGAATGCCAAGTCCTGGATTTTACAGATCTCAACTCCGTAAACTGCTATTCTTGTTTAATCAGGCTTCACTCAAAAAGCTGGTGTCATTGTTTTCAATCTGTTATGTATTCCAGGCTGTACATATGTTTCTTTTTTATATTTATTCCTTAAGGATGGTTCGAGGTTATTTAGTTAATCTTACTCAACTCTTCTACTTAGTAAAGGAAGACTAGGTCTACAATGAGCTGGTGTTGATGACATAAAAATGTACATAAGTCTTTGTAAAGAAGGCAGAAAGAAAAAGTGGATCCCCAAGATGACTATCAGAGCCACTGAGGATTAATGGTTGGCATTAATGCCACTTGAAGCAAGTCCCAAATCATTACCTGAGTGAGTGATTCCTGGTAAGATCAGGTTGACGCTCCTGTAGAATTTCAAAGATGTTGGGCTGACGCAGAAATGCAACAATTTTATCATTATAAGCTGAAAAAAAATCAAAAGAAACAATTCTTTTTTAAAAAAAAATCCATTATTACTTCTATGATGACTATAATTTCAGACTTTAAAACTCTGTTTTTATAGTTAATATTTATTGTACTCAAGTTCACAGTTTGGAGCTGCCCTACAACTTGGCCACAGATGTTTCCATTCTGATTTTGATGTAAGCAGTTACATGATTATTGGGCTTATGTCTAATACAGATCACTTGCTATTCTTATTAAACTCATTTAATGAACCATATTTATTATCAAATGACAAGATTAGTTCATCAACAAGATTCTAGATATTTATAACTTTAAGTTTACCAAAATAAACCTCAAGGCCTGGCACAGTGGTGCAAGCTTGTAATCCCAGCAACTTGGGAGGCTGAAGCAGAAGCATTGTGAGTTGTGGTCAACTTGGGCTACACTGCAAGGCCCTGTCTCAGAAAACAAGAGCAAACAACCTCATAGAGATGATAATAGCAAAAAATGAAAAACTAATTTCTGGTTAAATATTAGCCAGTGAGAGAGATGAAGAGGTCAAACCAGAGCCCCCAAAATGTAATAGTTTCCAGTAACAGTTTCAACTATAATGCAGAAGACAAATCATTCTCAAACTCTTTGTGGAAACAAATGCCATTACACTACAAATAGCAGCTCTTTATCAAACCTACTGTATGAACAGCTATAACACAACTGTTGTCAAACTTTGGACAAAACATATTTTTAAAACAATCTATAGCCTACTTAAGACTGGCTATGGAAATGTAAAAGCTGCTCATTAAAATTCACTAAGGGACCATAAGTACCTCCTCTGTCAGGAAAATGAACCTACATGCTTAAGATGATTCAGCTTACTGATATTTACTCATAATCAGAAATAGGCAATAAATATAATTCACGGAACTGAAGTTTGAGTGTCTAATTCAGAAACATCAGAGATCCTGGCAATTCTGTAGGTATCTGCCACCTGAAACTTTATGAGGCCTATACATATATATTTTAGTTAAGTGCAAATAAATGTTTTAAAATACTACCTGCTAAAATGGAATCCCATTGTCAACTCAAAGAATCCCTGAATGTACATTTCATGATATATGAGCTGAACACACTTTTGTAACTGAATCCATTTTTGTATTCCATCCCAAATCAAAGATCATGTAACTTCTTAAGCAATATTTTATAGCACTCTAAAATTCTATGTGTAGTAAGTTAGTAGTAACACAGTGCATATTACTAGTGATATCATCAAATGTAAATAGACTTTAACCCTGGATTTCTTATCTGGGGTTGTCAAACTTCTTTAAGTCATGGGCTTTACACTTTATTTCATGATAGAGTTTTTCTTTCTTTGTTTTTAAAGCAACTGTATTAAAGCAAAATCACACAAATAGCTGTTCTAATTTAAGGGAGTTCATCTGGCCTCTCCTCAGTTTGTCCTTCCACCTGCCTTAGGCTCCAAGTTTGAGACTGTGAATTTACTTAGCTTCATCGTTTCAGAAACAATTCAAGGTATTTTTGAGACCTATAAACTCACATCCACTTATTTTTAGTTTACTATTCTGGAAGCTCTTGTCTTCTATGTGTTTTAAAAATCCTTAAGAATGTGCTAACCTTGCTTGATTAGAATGTGAAGCACCATTTAAATTCTGTCTCAAGCTGCAAATATATTCCAATTATAGTGTTTCTTCAAATGCTTAATTCATAATGAGTGCCTCATTATTTTTTTCTTAACTTCAACAATCCAGTACTTATAAAGCAGTACTTTTAGGATTTTATAAGATAGAAGTGCTTTGAGACTCAAGGGTCTAGGATTTTTTATAAATTTCTTAGGGATAATGTAGTGGTTCTTGAATACAGGGCAAAAAGTATCAGGCTGGACAGAGGCACCGGTCAACAAGTATGCATTCTGTACATGAAAACACAGATAAAGACTTCTGGAAAGAGGTGACATACCCACTGGAACCATGTCCTGGTACTGTGGCCTACTGACTGTATTGAATGTACTGGATGGCCTGGGAAGAACTGGTGGTCCTGCGTGCCGAGAATCTTCTCCTACCTGTGAATGCAAGCATCAGTTATGTCTGCGCCAAAAGCTGGATGGCTTTGCACTGGCATCTCAAACCAAGTAGCTCAGAATACTTATCATGGCAAATTAACAACTGATCAGAACAGGTGCCAGCTGCAGAGCTGACACAGGCCCTTGAAAGGTCTGCTCTCATGGCTAAATGCTGGCAGGGTGTTGAGACATCTGCATCCTTGAGAGAAGCAGTGACTATAGGTGGCACAGTAGTTCAATCTGCTTGTAATTACTGTGGCTATGGCAGCAAAATAGCAGACTTGCTGATCAGGAATAACTTCTGCATCGACAGAACCCCAACCTGCCACAATACAATCAAAGGGAAGAGCTGGGTGATACAAGGTGTACTAGGGCTGTGCCAGGATATTCCTTCTTTTATTTAGTCAGGGAGATCAGGGAATTCCCTGCCTCAGCAGAGGAGGGGCCTCTAACAGCAGCAATCTTCCTGTGGGGCTGTGTGTTAGTACATTATCTCCTCAGAAGCAATTTTGCATGCCTATTAGAGCACCTGGCACAACAGCTCTTTCTGGTTTGAGCCTCCCACACCAGACAGCTAACAGTAGCAGGTGTGGAAGAGCTAAATAAGGTTGCCCCAACCTAAATTATTTATCGTACCTACTGTAAATTTAGAAACTCCTACAAATAGATAACTAAAAACATCTATTTGTATTCTTACCAGAAAACTCTTAACAATGCTTCAGCTTCTGTTCTAGCATTTTCTCCCAAATTACAGAAGTCTTTTAAGACAAGTTAGTATGGTTGTGTGGGAGAGTAAGTGAACAAGAGGCAATACTGTTATTTATAAGCTAGTGCTTTTCAAATGGAGCTTCGATTTCCTCCCACTGAAATCTTCAAACCATTTACTGTACAGCATCTGTTAGCTGTTTGCTGAGGATTTTATAAAGGCCTTCGCACTAGAGATGGCCTCTCTGTTCTCTACTGCTTTCCTATCCTTTAAGAGTCTTCTCATTCATTCTCCAAAGTATAAATAGCCCCTCCTCCATAAAGCCTTCCCTTCCCTTCCCTTTATGCTCAAGTCAAGTGCAACCTTCTCATTTGAGCTCCACAGTGCTTGGCATATATTTCAAAAGCAGTTGCTATAATTAACAGTTTATATTATTTGTCAACTATATGTCGGTAAAACTGGACAAAAAAATGAAAATATACACTATTATCTAAACTCTATTAAAGTACAACTTTCTCAACTATTAATTTTTAAATTTTATTTTTATTTATTTATTTTTTTACTTTTGGTCTTTTTGATCCTGTAGCACCAGCTGGACTGGAACTTACTATGTAGACCAGGCTAGCCTCCCTCTTACAGAGATTCACCTGCCTTTGTCTCCCAAGCTCTGGGTTTAAGGGTGTGTGCCACCATACCTGGCCTAAGATTGTTATCTATTATTATTGTGGGTAGGGTTCTTGGGTACCATGGTATGCATGTGGCGGGGTCAGAGGACAACACTGTGCAGTCAGTTCTCTCCTCCCACCTTTACGTGGGTTCCAGGGATTGAACTCAGGAGCTACCTCTCTGTCTCTCTTAAAAAGTTTAAAAAAAGTATTTTTCATTCATATTTTTATTCATCTGAAATATAGTTTTAAATTTTCTATCCATATAAAGAACACAGAAAATTAATTGCATTGTTCATGACGTCAACCACAATGTTTCTACATTGTAGCAGGTGTCTGTTTCCATGGCAGAGATATTAATATTTCTACAGATTCCAGAATTTGATGGATGACGACAGGATGGTCGCAGGAAAGACGCATTACATAACTACAAGTTTTCTCAACCTGCTTCTCCTAAGTTATTGGCTTTGAGGAATGGAGCCAGTCACTATGTGGAGATTCAGTCATTATCTAGACATTGTCAGGCAGAGGCAGAGAACTTATCATTTCAATATGCCCGCCTATATAATTTCCCTCCTGTCAGTAGTTGCCGGTGTGATCATTTCCTGGAATAGCCAAAGTTCATCTCCAAGACCTCACTTCCTAAAACTGGACCATAAGACAGTGGGCAATTCCTTTGAAAAGCATAGGTAGCCTTCAAGCTGTACGCACTTCCAACAGCTGCATCACCAAGAATGTTCTCAAAAAGCCAATGCTGTGGCTGAATGTTGGGTTACTCTCTGTTCTGCTGCTCCATTTTTATCAATGAGAAAAGAAATTTTCATTTAGTTGCTAATTTATGCTTGAGGGCCCCTCCTCTTCCAAAACTGACTACTATTAGACCATGAAAATTATTCAAGTTCTGACATAGAAGACATAGAAGTATTGAAAGAAAATATAAGTATAGCTGTTACTCTTATATGCTTTCCCAGGAAAACAATTCTGACTACACAGAACAGCCAACTTCAGCTTCTGAAATCACAATAAGGTGAATGGCTAAAGTGCACTGGTCACGTGACAAAGCCAGCCAGAGTCTTAATTATGCTGTATATTGCACACAAAGTCCAAGGGTGAGAGGTTTGTTCTGTTTATGATGAATGCTCAGTGTCTTCCAGTTCACCACTAATGCTTTATAGGACAGCAAGGTAAAGATTTATTGGCCACTCATAAAGCACAAATATTTTTGTGCATGCCTCATCCTGCATTAGATTTATATATCATTTTTATGTGAGCTTCTCATGTATATTCTTCTATAAACAGCAAACACATGATGCATGAAAGCAGCATTTAAGTCATGAGGGGAAATTCCAGGGGTGGAATTTTGATGAATTGAATCCAGTTATTTATTGCATTCATAATTTTTGCCTTATAAGAAAGGCTGCAAAAATATTTGACCTACAATATAATGTTGGAAATATGATAAGCACTTAGAAATGGCAAGAAAAGGGTCCTAGTCCCATTTTCCTAAGGGAACTTTTAGAAACAATTACACCAAACCATGATATACGCTCAAAGCATAAACTTATATTACGGAGATGAAAATTCAACCCCAATCTTTTTATTTATTTAAGCTGTTCAAGGGAAAAGTGAAACAAGAATGGATTCTTGTGTGCTTGAGTCAGGATATTGGAGGGCCCTCATGTGGTTACCATGCGCCACTGCAAACTGGTAAAGTGGAGCCCAGAGGAGCTGGCAGTCTGTTCTTAATCAGGTCGTTTTCTCTGGGCACTTAGCACACACATGAGTTTTCTCAGGCACATCCTAATTTCAGAGAAGACCAGTGAGGACTCTACAACCCCATAGATAGATACATTAATGGCATCCAGTGAGCTTCATTTAAGAAATTCTTCCTTGTAGCTAACAAAATTTTAGCCCACTAAAAGTTCATTTTCTTATGGACTGTCCTTGGGTGTGAAAAGGATTTATCACCGTCTTTTGTGGGCATTTTAGTACATTGCCAATTCTCTCTGAGTTAAATATGAAACTTTATTCTTCAATCTTTGCTCATATACCCTTCTTTTTAAATTTGCAATTTAGCCGGATATATCTCCAGAGAAACCCTGTTAACATTCTCAAACTTTTTTTAGACTCTAAATGATACCTTTAAACTAAGAATACAAGGCAAAACAAACAAACAAACAAACAAACAAAAATAACAAAAGGCAACAAAAGTGCACAAACCACCCAGGAGCCTTATATCAACGAACTGGTCAGTCGCTAAAAGCCAGGACTCACCTCACCCGCGCTGTGGCTGCGCTGCCTTGTCAGGTGTTGGCGATGAACCAGCGCGCTAGTGGGTCTACTGCTCTGAAGTGGGAGCCGAGGATCAATGAAGGTGGTGGTTCTCGAGTTGTGGTCAACAAAAAAAGCCTAGGACACAATCCACTGCATCAGTAGTCAACACATGCCATCACACATTCAAGAAATGACCCACTTTGGAGGCATAATCTTAGTTCCATTGTCTCATAATTTCCAATCCTTGGAAGAATTTCTTGTTAATTCATTAAGACAGAAGAAGAATAGACAAAGTCACACTTAACCTGGATCCACAATGAAGAAAACGGGTCAGAACATCACACTTGGTTTTAGAAAATCCTCCAAGAGATAGTGATCAAAGATATGATCTTAGAAGGATGCCATCAGAATGGACATTTGGAGCTGGGTGTGGTGGCACTGGCCTGTAATCTCAGCACTTGGGTGGTGGAAGCATGAGTTGGAGGCCAGCCTGGAATACATAGGGAGAATGTACCTCAAAATAAAACAATAATAACAATGAAAAATAAAAGGACATTTGGACTTCTTTAACTGATACTTTTTTGGCTCTTACCATATCTGGTTATTATAAAATTCCAATCATCTGAAACTTTCTGCATCATTGACTTCTCTTTCTCTTTCCCAATGCAATCAGCTACTAAACTCTTCCCATTTTCCTGCTGTGATGCCCTCTCTTTGACTCCGTGACTCCTAGCCTAAGCACCACTCCATTGTTTGAGAGTCTCATTTTACATATGTAAGTACCACTACTGTCTCAATTCTTCCATATCTCTAATCACCTTTATTCCTCAAATCTAAACCTTTTTAGAAGACTGGCCCTTCTAAACACTTTAGTTATACTACTGCTCTAACCTAAAGTTTCTAACAGCTACCCACTGTGTACAAGTCATTCCAAAACTTTGGTTAGTTTTCAAGACTCTTAAAACTCTCCTACTGAGTTCCTTTACAGTTTAGTCATCCAGCACACACCCAAATTCCTATCACATACCAACTATGACTTTGGGCTAATGCTTACATTATCAGAGCTGTAGGTTTCTCGAATCATTCATAAAAAACAATTCCCCTCATAGTGTGTTAGGAGTGTAGAAACCGTGTCTATTCAGTTTGTTTCATATTGATAACATGAAATTATTCATGGTGATAAACTATCACCTCAGTGTTACAATGAGGCTCAAATACAATGTAGAAAGGCATTTTTGTTTAAGTATAAAACTCTACACGAGTGCTATTTTATCATTATTATTAGGCCAAATGTTATGTCTTCAAGTAAAAATCACTTGAGGTAACAGGGAAACCCATTATTTCAAATCTGCTTCTAAAGTGTAGGTTTCCCATAATCAGAGAATGTAAATTGAGCTATTAAAGATAAAAAAGACTTTTAAGCTATCCAGGAGACTGAGTATCTATGTATGAAACAGGTGCCTGGCACATGATGTGTGACAAGTAAACAGAACTAACTTTTCAAACTGGTGGATCTCAGTTACCAAAGTGCTTGAAAGATTAGGAACAAATGTACCTAGTCAAATCAAGACCAAGTGGTGTCTCCATGCCTATAACAATTACTTCTCCATTGTGAGAGAAAATGTTTCAACACATGCATCATCAAGAAATGGGCATGGTATATAGGAAGCTCCAAGACAGAAAAAAATTTTTACTTTTTATAAGAAAGGTTTTATTATGTAGCCTGGAATCAGACTTAAATCATCCCACTTCAGCCTGAGTGCTAGAACTGCAGGCAAGTGCCACTTCACCCAGCTTTAAACTTAACTTTTCAGTGAAGAAGGAAAGCACTGAATGTACCAAGAAGTAGAAAAATGAACAGAACAAGAGTTTTTCCCAGTCCTTTTTCTTAATATAGGATTTTTCAGGTACAAAGATGGACTAGGCCAAGGTGCTCCCTCTTCCCTAAACTATCAGATAAAGCATCTTTTTTCTCAACCCTGTAAAATGTAAACCAGATACAGGCCCTACACACACCTGTATTGATCTAACTGAGGCTGTGGCCTCAAGTTTCATGCCAGTCTTCATTTGATTTTGGCTTAGAATATACCTATTCATTATTTCTGATATTATTCAAAACATTACAAAGTAGAAATTATTCTTACAAATAAGCATATCTAGCTCCTATCTTTAAAAATCAGATATTATAATCAAGTTTTTTGGTATAAATTAATATCAACAAGATTTTATTACAAACATAAGAAAATTTACTTAAGATAAAAATACAAAGAGTACTAAAATAGTATTGCCTAGTTATGTAATTCCTTAGGAATGCTTTCAAGAGATGGGTCGCCATTAGAAGTATGATGCACTTGTAATTACAAGGACAAATGGTGTCTCCATCTAGGTCAGTGGTAATCTGCATATAGTGTCAGAACCTAATTTGATTTTAACAGGCTTGTCTAAAATCCATGCTCTAAAGAATTATATTGCAAATGCCTTGAGGGAAAGGACTATTTCTTACTAAACCTGTCGTCCTCAATAGTTTTTAGGGCTGGCTTGCAAGAAGGAAGGTACCCAATAAATAAAAAAGTGTCCAAACTAGATTCCTGACTAAAAATAGTTAAAAATAAGGGGAAAAAAATAAGAGAGAGGTATGTGAGGTATAAGGTGTGAGAAACTAAAGGCCACAAGAAAATAAATAGGACAGGAAAATTTTTTAAAAACCCAGTATAGATATGAATAAACTACTAGGCTAAAACTTGCAAAGTGATAATTAAATGCCTGGGATCCAGAAAAAGACATACTCAGCTCTGAGCTCCAGCCCCATCACTTCCTGATAATATTACCTTGGGCAACCCGCTTACAACTTTTAAGGCTCCATTTCTTATTTCTTTTCTATTAAATGGTGATGTCACATCTACATTAAAAGGAAGCTGAATGAGAAGGTTCATATGCATTCTAAAAACACAAATCCAAGGCTGTAGCAATAGCTCAGTGGTTAAGAGCACTTGACTGACTGGTCTTGCAGAGGACCTTGGTTCGATTCCCAGCACCCACATGGTGGCTACAACTGTTCATAACTCCAGTTCCAAGGGAATCTGATGCCTTCTTCTGACCTCCATGGGCACTGCACGACATGGGTGCACTTACATACATGCAAGCAATATGCTCATAGACAAAAAAAAAAAATTTAAAAACCCCACAAATCCCACAGCATCCCCAGTGTGAGTTACTGCTATGATCATAATAGTTTTCATTCTAAGCCTTTTTCCTAAAGATCTCAATGCTTCTTGCTATAATCCATACACAAGGGTAGAAAAACAAAACCAGAGAATCAGTGAAAACTGCTTCTCCCAGGCTCCTTCTATCTGAGGGTCCAAGACTAAGTGAAACACAGCGCTTGTGGGAAGTCTCCTTATTAAAGACACCAGTGAATCCTTCTGCCCTTCATCTCTCCCACTCCCTAAAACAAGGCTGTCTAACAGCTGGAGCTCTAGCAGGTACACTGAAAACATGGAAATGGCTAAGCAGAATATGGAAAGAATCAGGGAGCTCACATAACTCGAGGAGTCATCTGATGAAACCACAGCCTGTCTCTGAACTTTCCTATGTGAACAAATACACCCTTCCAGGTGAACTCATATAGGTGTTCAATCATAGTAGAAAAACCAATCCTAACTGTTCATACTGAAATCTCTATACTGCAAAGGAAGCATGTCCTCTCCAAAGTTAAAGCTGGAGCAAGGAACTTTCATTATTTGATAAATAAGACATCTGTCCACAGTTCCCTGTTCATAGTTGTGTCACAGCTGCAGATTTCAGTGATGCTTACAGTTGGGGACTCACAAAGCTGGGATCTGAAACCACCTTTTGTCTGTGTCCAAATCCAATGAGCGGCCCCTCTTCCCACTCTCTTCTTTCCAAATGTCTTCTCTTGTTCTTTTATGCTGCTTTCTGACTGCCATCTTATCCTACTTGTTGTGCTCTTTCTTCCCCTCACGCCTCATGCCAAACTTGGTTTTGGAAAAGCCCTTAAGAGTGCCTTGAACTAGGCCGGCAGTCACAGACACTCACAGCGCTTGGCTCAGCCACTGTGTCAACTCTGAAAAGTCTGCTGCTGACCCGGCAGAATATTCCACATACTCTGTCTAATTCTGTTCGCTAATGTGTTGGGGGCATGCATGGACATGGATGGAAGTGAGTGCTATATGTATCTCATAAGGGGTTCTGTTTCAGAGTCAAATATAATGTATATATTGTTTACACATGTTTTCCAGTCTCCGGTCCCTGGAAGGGAATGTCTTGATGAAGATCTCCATCAATATCAGTAACAGGAAACAGCACCCAGGAGCAAGTCCTCTGCTGTGTTTTGGCTCTGCTCAGGGCCCTCTGCACCATGGGCAGGCTTCCTTAGGGCTTTGCTTTAGTCATGTAAAAGTAATGGCTCGGGTCCCTCTCAGGTTGTGAAAAATATATTCTACTTTAAAGTGAATGAAACCATGATCTGATCTCTAGCACTGCAATGACTAGGCAAACAAAGAAGCATGAAAATGAGAAATCACTGCGCAAATTCTAGGCTTGAAACTTCTACTGGTGACACACACACAATAATTATGTTAGAAAACTAGATCATTTTCCACAGGGAATGCTAATTAGTTCAAACTAGCAACGAAGTTGACCTGGTACTTTTTTTAAAAGAAAAATTGGGTCACTTTTATGTCACAATTTTGAATAGCCTGCAATTATTTATGAAAGTATCTAACATGTAATTGTCTGTATTAAGTATGTTTGTAATGCAGCCTTCATTAAAAAGGCAATTATCTGAAGAAATAAGTTCATTTCATATTAGCTACTAGCAGAACAAATTTTGAACATCATTCTCTACTCTTCGGTTTTCATTAAGGAAACTCACTCAGGCTTTATAGTGTGGGGCCAACTAAGATGAACAACTCAAACACGGAAAGGAATACAAACACACAAACTCAAATCTCATTTTTAAAACATCTACCCTTTCACAGCTTCAGGGCACAGTCAGAGTCAAGAAATATGGGCTGGTTGGAGCCAAGTGGTATTTTAGGGAAGCCAAACAAAATACATTTCTTTCTTTACACAATTCTTTCTTTTCTTTTCTTTTTTTTTAAAACATCTATTAC